GCGGTGGCACATAGCAGAGCAGGTGTAGGGTTGTTGTGTGCCCTCAGAGCAGGCTGTGAGGCCGCCTGCCTGGCATCCGGTGTCTTATCTAATCTTTGGGGTGTATTTCTAGAGCTCCAGGCACCGGCCCTAGGGGCCTCGGAGTCTCCTGGAGATCTGCCGGGAGGCTGCGTGCCTTGGGTTGTGTAAGTGACACAGGAAGCAGCCGGACCGGGCCGTTGGGTCAGAGTCATGCTGTAGCCAGTGCCCTTGCCAGGGTGGCCATTGGTGCCGCCGTTGGTGTCAGCAGGCTCAGAGGTGCTGCAAGATCTTCTGTCCCCTCTTTCTATGGGAACAGCAGCATCACAGCCTGTCGGGTTTTTTTAAATGGCTGGGGAAACTGAGGCTCAGAGACCTGCTCTTACCACCCAGCAGACTGGGGAGACATGGGATGAGATGCAGGTCTCTGGACAGGAAAGCCCTGCCTTTGGGACTGTTGGTACTGCAAGTCAGCATGAGTTTTGGGGTGCAGGGACCTCCCTGGGGACAGTTGCTCAGGGTACATGACGCTGAGTTTGTCCTATCTGCAGTGTCTTGGGATGGGGAGGCAGGGAGAGCATCCAAGTCCAGGATTTGGAGGAGGAGGACTGGAGCTCTTGGGGAAAGAGGTTGTTGCCAGTGATGGTCTCAACAAAGCCTCTATCTTTCGGGGGGTCCATGTGCTGCCACTGGGAGAAGCTGGCACTAAGGAATGTGGGAGGGATGGGTGAGGGAAATAATTTCACAGGTATCCCATGGTCATCCCCAGGTGTCACCTCTTGGCATCTTTGCTCTGACTCACTTGCTGGGCTCTGCACACTGCAGTATGGCAGTCGGTGCCACCTGCCTTCACTTTGTCAGCTCCCACCTGAGGCCTCCATGGAGCCTCTGACAGGTCTCACCTGGAAGGGTGATGGAGGCCCTGGGAGTTGGGTGGCTTCTGCAGCTGGGGTGGCATATCGGTGGTGGTGTGTGGCCCCACTGACACCCCTCCCCAGCTCCCTGGGTGCCTTCTCACCAAACATGGTGAGGAACACAGTGAAGTTGATGGGGCCAGGTGCCTCCTTTATCATCTTATCAATCTCCTCGTTTTTCACATTCAGGCACCCTAGAGGAGAGCAGCTTTGGGTGAATCGTGTGTCCCTGTCCAGCTGCAAATCCGTGCAGACCTCCGGGCTCTGCTCTACATGCTGGAAGCTAAAGGACACATCATGGGAGCTTTGCCCTGGAGATTTTTCCCCCATTTGAGGGAAGCAGCGCAGCCCTGGGGAGCCACCTCTGCCCAGGAACGGCGGTAGCAGGAGCGGGAAGGGGTAGTGGGCTGCAATTATCCACCTCTGGTTTCTCGGGCTCCAGATCACAGAAAAAAGGGCTGCAAAGGGCCGAGCTGTCCTGCTTCCTTCCCTCACTGCCCCATGGATCAGCCTGCTTCAACCCTCCTTGGATGACGTTTTGGGTCAAAACCACCAGGGTCGTGGTTCCTCCTGGCCTCCAATGTCAGAAGTGAACAGGACTGAACGCCTACGTCCTTCTGCCTGAGGATGGGTTGTCTTTGGGACTCCCTGGCCCCATCGCTGGTTTGTGCTGGCCTCCGTGATGAGGGAGCCAAGCTCCCAACTTCACAGCTTCCCACAAATCCCGTAAATCCCCCCAGTGCCTGTACAGCCGGGGACGCCGTGGGATGGGCACAGCCACGCGAGAAGGCAGGGAGCGTTTGGCTGTGGGTAACCCAGGAGCTGGCTCTTCTCTGGGACCTACAGGATCAAACACCTGCTGCTGCGGGAGCAGCTCTGAGTGCCCCCGTGTGGGATCTCACCGGCTGGTAGAAGCAGTTTTGGATCAGGGGGTTTTTGGCAAAACCGGAGATCCAGTTAACTGCTGGGGCTTCGTTAAACGGGAGCTCACAGCTGGGTTCTCACTTAGGAGGTCTAACATCGTCGAAGCTGTTGAGGGGAAGGTCCGAACAGGGGACTCACCGAGCGCAGCAAAGGTGTCTCTCAGGTCTGCCTTGTTGATGAAGCCATCCTGGTTCTGATCCATGATGGTGAAGGCCTGGAAGCACAGGAGGAGGGCAGGGAGCACAGGGAGAGCTGTTGGCCCTTGCAAAGGCTTTAGTACCCTCCTCCTCCTCCCTTTGGCTTGGATGGGACAAGGGCACTTTGAGCCTTGCCCAGGATGGGGCTTTGGGGGTCCTCACTCAGCAAGGGAGCAACAACTTGATCCAGCAGCAATCCTGGCTCCTGTGCCCTTGGGCAGCGTGGAGTGACAACGTCCTACAGCAGCCCAAACCCTAATGCCCTACAAACCCTCTGCCTTGGACAAAGCCCTCTTGCCCTGGGATGAGACCAACCAGGGAGGACAGCCTGAGCCATCAGCTCCCCCAGCTGGGACCAGTTGTCGTAGAATCACAGAATGGTTTGGGTTGGAAGGGACTTTCAAGATCATCCAGTTCCTACCCTCCTGCCATGGGCAGAGACACCCTCCACTACACCAGGTTGCCCAACCCTTCCAGGGATGGGGCAGCCACAGCTTCTTTGGGCAACCTGTCCCAGTGCCTCACCACCCTCATTGTAAAAAATATTTTCCTTATAATTTCTTCTTATATCTTATCCCTGTAACTGGGATCTACCCAGGACTGTGCCAGCCATGCAGGGGGTAAGTCATGCAGAGCTCCTGGCACAGTAGGTGGGAGCTGGCTGGGAGACGTGCTCCCGCTCTCCTGGATGCTGCTGGCTCCTCTGCGGGGTGCGGGCTCCCAGGAAGCTTCGAGGCGATGCCGTGTTTAACAATGTCACCGAGTTGTTATTCGCACTTTTAAAATAAAATGACTCAAAACCAGGCGTGCTGCCTCTTGTCACAAACCAGCTGCCACCCATCTGAAAGCGCGGAGGAAGGAGCTCAAGGTCACGTTGCATCAAGGACCCTCGGTCGTTTCTACCAAACCCACCTACCTCTTTGAATTCTTGGATCTGGGCCTGCTCGAACATGGAGAAGATGTTGGAATTACCACCTTCGATCCTCTTCTTGGCTTTCTTGGGTGCCTGCAGGGGT